TTGGAGGTTGCTGTGAGCTGTAATGCCACGGCACTCTACCCAGGGGGACAGTTTGAGGCTCTGTCTCAAAAAAAAAAAGTTGGCTGGGCAGTTGTCTCATATCTGTAATCCCAGCACTTCAGAAAGCTATGGTGGGAGGATCACTTGAAGCCAAGATTTTGGGACATAGTGAGAACACATCTCTACAAAAAATTAAAAAAAAAAAAAATATTCAGATGTGGTGGTGCATGCCTATAGTCCCAGATGCTCAGGAGGCTGAGGCAGGGTAGATCACTTGAGCCCAGGAGTTGGAGACTGCCATGAGTTGAGATTACATGATCATACCCCGGCCTGAACAACCCTGAGGGAAAACCCTGTCTCCTTAAAAAAAAAAAAAAAAAAAGTAACTAAATAAAAGGAAAGGTCAGTCCACAGAGGAAGGATTGTTCTGTATTAAAGGGAACCAAAGAGGCTGGGTATAGAAATCCACAAGTGACTTTCATGGGACCCTGGGCTGGGGCAGTGACACAGGGGGCTCTGAGCTGATTGGTCTACATGGTACAGCATCTACTGGTACACAGCATTAAGTACCAAGAGTGATCTAGACATCAGAGAGAGGCAGCCACTACCTGGGCACCTCTAGGGTTAGGGCCATTGCCAGAGACTCAAAGGATTTTATGTGCTCAGCCCTCAGGTCTTCGCCGGACCCTGTGTCCTGGTGGGGACCTGGGTGCCCCTGTGGGTCCCTAGGTAATGCCTTGTATCTTTGGTCACAGAGATCGTTAAGGAGGTTGAGGTCCCACAGGCTACCCTGGGTGTCCCAGCCCATGGGACGGCGGACAGCTGCCACTCGCCTGTGCTGGAAGAGGAGGTGGGCATCCCTATCCCCGCACCAGGGCTCCTGCAGGTCACGGAGAGGAGGCGTAAGTACTACTGACTGACCCAGCACACTGCTGGGACCCTGAGGGCCCCCAGAAGTGAGGCTGCTGAGCCCACACCCTGTCCAAACACTCCCAGGGTCTGAGGCTCAGAGACTCAGTCTGAGAAAGAAGGGCTGGATCTAGTGCTGAGTGCTGTGCTCATAAAGCTTTGGTTCCCTGGGCCTCCACTGTCTAGTATGTGAAATGAGGACCTTAGGAAGCTTCACAGCCTCAAGTGTGCAGAGCAAATGCACACGTCTGCCCACATCTGGGCTTTGTAGAAAGTTGGGGTTCATCTGTGAGCCTTGTGAGGTGACTGTGCCCCATCTATTCCCAGAGCCCCTGAGCAGCGTCTCCTCTCTGGAGGTCCACTTTGACCTCCTGGACCTCACTGAGCTGACCGACATGTCCGATCAGGAGCTGGCTGAGGTCTTTGCTGACTCAGATGATGAGAATCTTACCAGTGAGTCCCCTGCAGGTGAGGCTGGCGACGGGGACATGGGGAGGCATGGGCTGGGCTAAGGTCCTCTGCGAGTCCTGGGGTTGTCTCAGGTGAGTTCAAACGAGAGCCTGGCACCACTCATACACCATTTGCGTTTCAGGAATCTCCCCCACAGCTGCTGCTCCTAAACTTTATCTTCCCAGTGAGCCACCATCCAAAGCCACCATCTGTCCAAAGTACAATTTACTAAATGTGACTTTTAACCCTAACTTAGGCCAAGCACAAGGTGAGGGTGGGGCACTGACCAGCCTGGGCCCCTCCCCAGCTCACTGACTTGGTTTACCCTCTGGTTCCCCAAGCACTGCCTCTGGCCCAAGGGCCAGCCTGGCATCCTTCCTTCCCTCTCTGCTCACACCCAACACAAGCAGGGCCCCACAATGTGGTCACTTTCATGTCTCTCCCAAGCCCTGTGGTCAGAGTATAGGATTCACCTCTAATGGGGTCTTAAGTATCTTTTATCTCTTGTAAGTAGTGAAGGCCTCAGTGTGACCTTACACTCTGGGCAACGGGGTGGGGAGAACACAGGAGCTCCACCCATGAGATAACTGGACCTGGCTCAGGCCACTCAGGACCTCCTTAAAGGCACCAGCATCAGCAAGGTCCCTGCCAACTGCTCTGGGGGTGTAGGGTGGGCAGTGGAATTGGGCTGGCCCCACCTCCAGGACAAGTCATCATCCCACACTGGCTCCTTGCACTTCCCCACACCTTCCCTGCGGGCCCACAGGTATGTATAGACCAGGGCTGATACAATTGGGGAGATGGGGGGCTCAAGGCCTGGCCTACCTAGACCCAAGCCCATGGAACCCACAAGCTGGAGAAAGCAGGACACATGATGGGCAGAGGTTCAGTGAGGCCTACAGGGGCCCTCAGGTGTGTTCGACTGTTCCGGGTCATGGTGGGGGGGGGGGGACTTTGATAGGCCCCACTAGTATCACTGCATAACAAGGCAGGAGCCAGAGCAGGTTCTCCTGGGGGAGGGGGGTCTGCCCAGGCCTCTGGTGGAGCCAGCTTGTGGGTTTTGTGTACTGGGCCAGGGAACCTCAAGGTACAGTTGGGGATCTGGTATTAGAGGCATCAAAGACGTCTGCATGCACATTTAGGAACGCAGGGCACGGGGCACAGTGCCAGCAGTGCCCCAGAAGGCTGACATACAGGCACCCCAGGCCTCCTGGCTGAATTTCACTTCCCATATTTCTATTCATGCCAGGTCTACACCCACTACCGCGGGCCGGCTGCCTACGCTCCCCCTCCTGGACAAGGATGAGGGCCGAGCAGAACCGTGAGAAGCAGTCCCTGGGTGACCCTGAGCGGCAGGCTGCAATCCTGGACACATTTCTCACAGTGGAGGGGCCTCAGGAGGACTAGGCCATCTCCACCCATCTGGGGGTGCTGCAGGCCCCAGCACAATGGTAAATCAGGGCAGTTCTGGCCCCACAGACAGACGTGGCCCTCTCCAAGAGGCTCTAGCCATCACCTCCTGACACAGCAAGCAGGGCCAGGGCACTGCCAAAGGAGGCTCCCTGTTAGTCTCTAGGCCATGGAGTCCTCTGGGCACAGGCCCCAACTCTGCTTGGAGCCCAGCTGTTGATCTGGGGATATGCTGGGCCCCTCGATGCCTCTGGGAGCCCCAGCACAAGCCCAACTCAGTGGCATTATGTCCAGCTCATCCCTGGACCCTGGAGCATGAGAACAACACAGTCAAGTCACTGCCAAGTGATAAGGAAGAGACAAGGAGTGGTGTGTGCAATGGTGGCCTCAGGGTAGAGGGACCTTAGCCTGTGGGAGCCACTCTGAGAACTCCCTGGGGATCTCTAAGCTTAGCTAATGGACACAATACTGTCCAGCCAAGCACATGGGGTGAGGGACAGTCCCTGAAGTTCTCACCTTGATTTCACTCCTGCTCCCTTCCTCTGCCTCATGGAGCCACCACATCAGGGCCCCCTCCCCAGGCTTACCTCCAAGACCTTCACCTGGGTCCCTTGGTCCCTGCATCCATTTCATCCTTAGGTTGGAAAACCAAGTATAGTCAGACTGCCTCGGAGACACTTCCGGGATTACCTGGGGGGCAGGTTCACCCTCTCCCCATTCTGTGCCCATCACAGGGCACATCCTCACGTACATTCTCCATAGCCCATGGCCACCAGAAATAGGCAGTGGGCTCTGGGCCATGTTCTGGGCACTGACAGGCCCACTCTGCTGTGGGGGTATCAGGGGCACCCAACTCAGCTTTCCCAGTGCTGCTTTTTGTGCGTTAAGAGTCACAGAATAAGCTTCTCACCTGATAGCAAGTCAAAGACTGGTTTTAATATGAAAGTTTAAGCTTGTTTTTGTCCTCAAGCCAACCTGCCATACCCTACTTCCCACAAAAACATTTCCAGGAAAGGAAAACAGGCTCCGATCTGCATTTTCATCCGTGTCTTCAAGAGAGATCCTGGGCCCCACTTCCACTTCTGAGCTGTTCCCAACTCCCTACCTTCTCTTGTCTGCACTGTTGGCAAGTCCAGGTCCCCCGCAACCAGGTCTCCTGAAATGAATGCTGCCCCTGGCTTCCAACCTCACAGAATCAGGCAGGTTTCTCTTCCAATCCCACAGAGGCAGCCATGCCCCCAGCCATACCTCCACCCACCAGCTCCATCCCTCCCGCCGCAGCTTCTGTAGAACTCATTCACAAAATGGGGGATTAAAGCATCGCCCCACATCTTAAGGCCTGGCCGCAGTCTTTCCTTTCTAGCTGACACCAGTGTGCATACAGGGGTGTTGGGGTGCCCTGGAATGAGGCTCCAGCCCTGGGGTCATTCTCTGGCTATGCTGCACTCCAGGCTATGCTTATGTGGGTCACATCTCTGGGACAAGTGCCCTGAATTCCCAGTCCCTGAGTAATACAAAAGGAATCTTTTCTTTTCTTTTCTCTTTTCTTTTCTTTTCTTTTCTTTTCTTTTCCTCTCCCTCTCTCTCTCTCTCTCTCTCTCT